AGTGATCCGAAGGGGCACGTGCACCCGAATGTTTATAGCAGCAATGTTTACAATAGCCAAACTATGGAAAGAACCTAGATGTCCATCAACAGATGAATGGATATAGAAGATGTGGTATATATACACAATGGAATACTATGCAGCCATCAAAAGAAATGAAATCTTGCCATTTGCGAAGACGTGGATGGAACTAGAGGGTATCATGCTTAGCGAAATAAGTCAATCGGAGAAAGACAACTATCATATGATCTCCCTGATATCAGGGAGAGGAAATGCAACATGGGGGGTTAAGGGGGTAGGAGAAGAGTAAATGAAACAAGATGGGATTGGGAGGGAGACAAACCATAAGTGACTCTTAATCTCACAAAACAAACTGAGGGTTGATGGGGGGAGGGGGGTTGGGAGGGGGGGGTTATGGACATTGGGGAGGGTATGTGCTATGGTGAGTGCTGTGAAATGTGTAAACCTGGCGATTCACAGACCTGTACCCCTGGGGATAAAAATATATGTTTAAAAAAAATAAAATTAATAATAAAAAAAAATGATTGCTAAGATACAAATTTCAATAGAATAGTTGGGAGATAAAGCTGAGAAGATCTACATAGTAGAACAACAAGCAAAGAGAAAAAAAAAACATGACCAATGAACTTAAAAAGTCAAAGGAGTTCAGTGGCCAACTACCAGAAGTTCAGAAAGAAGAACAAAGAAAATGCAGGGTTCGTATTATCATTAACCTCTAAGCTCTAACTACATTCCAGTCATAGTTCTAAGCACTTGATCATCTCAATATCATTGCAACTCTATGGAGCAGTTACTATTTACATGTTCTTTTTATCAATGGTGGGACTAGACTACAGACAAATTAAGTCATACAGCCAGCCAATATGCAGGAAAACTAGAATCAGTTATAGGAAGCCTGACTCCGAAGTCTAAGCTCTTAACCACTACACTAGGATCTTACAACTCACAATTCTAGATTCAAAAGGAAAAACAAATGCCTAATACAATGAATCAAAGCCCCATGGTGAAATTTCGTAATAGCAGGACTAAGAGATGATGCAAAAAAACTTTCAGAGAAAATAAATAGGTTATACAAAATGGAATGAAAATCAGATAACATCTTACCTTCTCAATAGTAATACTGATTGCTAAAAGTTAACAGAGTAAAAACTTAATTTGATACGAAAATGATTTTAAATTTAGAATAACAAAGCCACCCAAATGATCATTTAAGTATTAAGGACCAGGCACCTTTTTTCAGGAAGCTTATGAAAGATATACTTAAGCAGGAGAACAATCCAAAAAAGATAGACATGGAATCCAGAAAAGTCCAGGCTCCACTTCAAGAAAAAAATGAAGAAATGCCACATGGTTATAGCTTTGAAGGGGATTTAGGAGACCAGAGCAAAGACAATAGAGAGCTTCAAGGAAGAAGTGTCCAGGATAGGAGTGCCTCAGATTACATAAGCGGAGGTTGTGAAAAAGTTTGAGACCATGATGTAGTCAAAGAGTAAAAAGGAAAGAAAAGACGATTCTTAACTCAAGGAAAAATTTTAAAAGCTTTTCGGGAAAGTAAATAAAATTAGCAATGAATAATATTAATATAGTCATGATGTAAACTCTGACTTTAGCAAATAAAAAGTGAGATTTAACCAAATTATAAGGACTGAGGGTGAACACAGGTGGGAAACGTGAGGGAAATGGAACAATGTCTAAAACTAATTAACCAAAAAAAAGAAAAGAAAGAAAAACCCTGAAAGCACATTATTCAGAAACATTGGAAGTAATAGCTGCCTCTGAGAAATCAGACTTGAGAATAGAGAAGAACATGAGATAGGGACTGAATTGGTTTTTAGCATAAGCCTTTCAGTGCCACTTAAATTTTATTTTTTTAACTATCCTTTGATAAAAGAAAAAAACAACATGGAAAACTTCCCATATATGACAATAACCTTAACGTGGGTTTTCAGGTACATACTTTACCCTTAGGGAGGTCAGGAGTGTGTATACTTCACATGCTCCGATCCAGGCCTTCGTTCCCTGTAACCTGTTATTAAGTTGAGAGGCACCCTGAGGATCAAAACCTTCCTTCCATGCATCTTCAATCATAGACTGAATTTTTGGAATGCAAGGAATTGACATACCTAAAATTATACAAGAAAACATATTACATGACAGTTACTGAAGTACTATATATTACTTCATTCCATATTATATGTACAGTTGATCCTTGAGTAATACAGGGGTTAGGGACACTAATTGCCTACAGAGTCAAATATCTGCTATAACTCTTTGCTCCCCCAAAAACTTCAAACCTACTATTGACGGAGAGCCTTACCAACAAACATAAAATGAAGAGTTGATTAACATGTATTTTATATGTTATACATATTGTAAACCATATTCTTATAATAAAACTAGAAAAAAGAAAAAATTGTAAGGAAAATACATTTATAATATTAGACTGTAAAAAATCCATGTATATGCATCGCACACTCATGTTCTTCAAGGGTCAACTATTTATCAGCAGACAAGTTAAGAGAATTATACTTCACATACCTTTCAGGCAATCATCATAGGCATCATTTTGTAGTAACGATGAAAGTAGCATCTGGAAATTTCTATAACCACAACCCCAACCTTTGTCACCAAAAGATGAATGAAAGTGATCCACCCCTGTGGAAAGCCAAACACGCCTCACATCTGTAGCAGCATTCTGATAATATCTATAAAGTGCTTCAATAATTCCTAAAATAAAAAAGAGACTTAGAAGATTTAGAAGGATAAGCTATCATCTTTTATGGCTGTCTCATGTATTTCTAATATGAGTCTCTTCCTCAAGTGCCCCAACTAAATCTTGTCAATTCCATCTTCTTTATCTTTTTACTGTTATAACCTTAGTTCATGTCTTGTTACCACTATGCAAGTTTTCCTAACACTAGCATATTACTTATACTAGGACAATGGTGCCTCGCTGTCTAAGTAACATGGTCTTAGCAACCACATTATATAATTATATAATACATATATAATTATATAATTGTATATATAATAAAAGAAAAATTTCCTCATAATAAAATTTTTTATCCTTAGCCCCTACATCTCTTTAGATATTTTCCAATATCTTTTGTTAAATTATAATCTATTGTTGAAAAGAAATAATAGCTTTAACTAATAGCTGCTTCAATTAATATTTGCATAACTCACAAAAATAAAAATGTTTGCCACATAATCATTGAATTTCAAAGCAGTTTATAAAAAGGACATAGTACATAACAGAGCAGTATTCTTTAACCTCCTACAGATATATCAATATTATAACAACTATACATACTCTACTACATTCTACAGTAATTCTAAAACATATGCACAAGCAGAAATTAAAGGGTAACATAAATTAAAAACAAATAGAAACTCTAGTATTTTCTTCTTGTATACCCTAATGAATCGTATTCCAGATCGGCTGAAATGTCCTATCCCACAGAAACCTTTTTATACAGAGACCTTTGAAGAAATATAAAGATGGCCTTCAGAAACAGACGAATGGATATGAAAATACACGGCACAGGGAATCACAGGTAAGTGGGGAAAGTACAGAGTCACTTTCCTTTCTTATTGCTTGAGATGTATAAGCAATCTTATACATCTTATATAAAGTCTTAAAAATAAGACCTTATAAGTACTATTATAAATAAGGGGAAAAATTAAATCCACACCTTCCTTCTCTTTCTCTCTCTCATACACACATATGTACTAATAAATTCCAAGTGAATTAAAAGTAGAAAAATGAAAAGCAAAGTATAAATGTTTAAAGAAAATTTAAAGAGATAGTTTTATGACCTCAAAGTTGGGGGATTTCCTTGAACAAGACACTTAAGATATAAATAAAGACAAAGACAGAAATTTGATTATATTCAAATTTAAAACTAACTAAAGATACCATACATAAAATTTAAAGGCAAATTATAGATGTTGAAGAAGATATCTCTATTTCATATAATCAACAAAGAATTAGTGTCCTGAATACTGAAGGAACTCCTATAAATCAAGGAAAAGACAACTCAGTAGAGGGCAAAAGAAGGGAACAGGTTATTTACTGAAGAAACTAACTCAGGGGTTAATGAGGAAAATGCACATTAAGTACTATCATTTCAAAAATGAGTGGCAAAAATTAAAAAGTGTCACCATACAAAGTGTGAGTGAGAATACAATGATGCAAATGTAGATTATGATCATTTTGGAAAACAATTCTGCAGTAACTTTAACAAAGTTAGAGATATACATGCCCTTTAACCTTGTATTTCCAGTTCTGGTTGCATTACAGAAAAACTCTTAAAAAAGACCTCTTGAGAAAAGGGAGTAAACTGAGGGTTGCTGGAGGGGAGGTGGACGGGGGATGGGGTAAATGGATAATGGGCATTAAGGATTAAAAGAAAACCTGTTCATAATTTGTAAGAGTAAGAAACTAGAAACAACCTAAATGTTTGTCAACATGAAAACAGGTAAATAAGTTGTGTATAATTCTTACAAAAGATATCAGAGTCAAAATGAAGTACAGCTATAAGAATCAACATATCTGAGGAGACCAAATAGGAACAGATGTACACCAATTACACATAGTTTAAATACATTAAAATATTACATATTTTTATGGATACCTACATATATGGTAAAAGCATTAAAATACATATGAGACTGGTAAATACCAAATTAAGGATATCGGTTCTCTGTGTGGGTGAGGAGGGATTAGAGTCAGAAAGGGATGCACATAGGATTTAAAATACAGATGAAAGGTTTACAGCTTTAAAACAGTAAGATTAGGAACCTCTTTAGTAGGAACAAAGCTGTTTCCATATAAATTTTTTTTACTATACTAGTATACATTAAAAAAATACCTTAAAAAATATCAGGGAAAAGGCATTCTTTGGAGCAAGGCAGATTTGATTGTGAATACTAGCTGGGCCAGTAAGTAGCTATGTGGTTACAGTGGGAAAGTAATTTAATCTATCTAAATCACAATTAACTAATCCAGAAAAATGTAACAGTATACAAGTGAATGTCTGTTTTGCAAGTTAAATGATGCAGTATATATAAAGGTCTTAGTGTCTAAAACTATACTAAAACAATATAGTAGCCACTATCTAAGTATGACTATTAAACATCTGAGATGTGACTTATCCAAATATAAATACTCTGTAAAGTGTAAAATACACATTGGATTTTGAAAAATGTATAAAGATTGCAAAATATTTCATTAATAGTTTTTAATACTGATTATATGTTGAAATAATAATATTATGGACACATGTGGTTTAACATATTAAAATTAATTTTACTTCATCACTTTTCCTAATGTGACTACAGGAATTAAAAAAAAAAGCATATATATATATATATATATATACACATATTATATATATATATATTTGTTTCATGTGTGTGTGTGTGTATCTTATACTTCTATCACACAGCATTGATCTCAAACATAGTAAACACTCAATAAAAACTTCTAAAAGGCCCATTTTCAAATGTCAAGTAAATGAACACAATATAAAAGTAAATTATTTTTAAGTGGATTATTTAATAAAAATATAAAAGTATAAGAGTTTAAAAAAAATTTTTTTTAAATTATTTGAACAGTATCACCTAAAAGTCTATAAACTATGGATTATTAAAGTTAAGCAAATTCAAAAAACCCTGATTATTATTCACTGTTATATGAAATACTAAAATAATGATTTTGATGTTTAAGTACTCACCAGAAGTTTTTGTTTTTCCATCATCAATACCAATAGCTAGCGATTCCATCATATCAGCTTTTCTTCTGTGAAATTCAGATGGATGCATTCTTCCCCTATTGACTTCTATTTCCATATTTCGTAGTTGCTGTTGTTTGTATCCTCCAGAATTATCTAAGCCATATTGTCTCTATTGAACATAAAAATGACTTACTTTTCATGTCCCTTAACTTCAATGAGGATGGAAACTTACTACAATTTTATTTATTTGGAAATGTATTTTGAAACATTCTGCTTTATAGACTTTCATACAAGATTAAGATTTTTTATTAGAGATTTTTATTAAAGATTTTTCTTAAGATTTTTATTAAAGATAAATAACACACATACACATACACAAATCCCTCAGTTAGTAACAGCCTTTCTCTGTAAACCGCCAGGGCAAGAGATTTGCTTTCTTTGTAATAGGAAAAGTAGACAATCCTGTCTTCCTACTAAAGGTACTAAAAAAGGCAGGTCAGTTCTGAACATAGCACTGATTTATTTAAGAAAACTTGTCAGTACTTATTATTTGTTCCCAGGCTAGCCTATTAAGGCCTACTTAATCCACAATTCATTCAGGCAGTAATTCTACATAGTAAATTAACTTTTTTTTTTGCACACTGATAGAGAATCTCCAATTATAAAACAGCCTCCAAGGAAAAAGTTTTTGAGATCTAAAGAACTTGTGAAGTTACTTAACAAACGCATTTAAATACTGGAAACTTTTCGTATTTATAATGTTCAAAATTATATAAGACAAAGAAAACTTAGGAAAAGCCAACTTTTTTGCCTCCTCTGAATCTTGGTGGGAAAATGTTTTACAAACAAATGAATCACTAAGGAGAAAAATAGCCTAAGTTAGATACTCCAAATAGAGAATTACATGGTCATGCGTGACATAACTGAACAGAAAAACTCAGAAGTGAGTCTGAGAAAATTATGATATGTACAATGCACATTAGTATATTAAAGGTTTCGAAAAATCTTGCAGTATACAAACGTATTTAACTGAATACTTTCAAACCTATTCAATCATAAACTCTTTTTTTTCAAACATTATCCTATTAGCACACAGAAAAAGAGTAATTAGAAACTCTGAGCGTTATTAGCACAGGTAATAGTTCACAGAAAATTAGGACTGAAAAAAGTAGAAATAATCTATTAAAAATGTACATGCATTGGGGCGCCTAGGTGGCTCAGTGGGTTAAAGCCTCTGCTTTTGGCTCAGGTCATGATCCCAGGGTTCTGGGATCAAGCCCCGCATCAGGCTCTCTGCTCCGCAGGGAGCCTGCTTCCTCCTCTCTCTGCCTGCCTCTCTGCCTACCTGTGATCTTTGTCTGTCAAATAAATAAATAAAATCTTTAGAAAAAAAAAAAGTACATGCATCAAAAATATATTAGATGCCGCCAGTTTAGTTCGGCAGATACCAACATCAACCCAAGATAAAGTCTCAAATGTCATAAAAAATAGATTTTCCATTAAACATGGCTCTTTTTAAATGCTTGAATTGCAATCACTAAAAGAATTTAACACTCAGACAAGAGATATTAGTTCTCAATTTCTCTTTTAAGTATCTATACAAACGCTTAAATTCTTTGTTTCCTAATCTGCCCTATCAATTTAACATAGGTTTGAATCCAGGTTTTACCATTTAATATAGCCTGAACCTGAACAAGTTACTAGCTATATAAGCACTGTCTCTGCTTCCTCATCTGTCATTTAGGGAGTTGCTGTGAAGATCTTAAGGTACTATATGTGAAGTGCTTATCCCAGTACATGACCAGAATGAGTATTTATAAGTGGTAGCTGTTATGAACTAGAAAATGTGTATGTAAAAAGAGTATTTTGTGTATCAACAATGACGAAAATAATAGGCTGTAGTCTCGACAGCATGTTTGAAAAATAGGAACTCTACCAAACCAAAATACTACGATTGTTATTAATCTTCATACCTGCAGTTTCTGAAATTCTTCCATTTCTTGTCGTGATTCCTCAGATCTCTTCTTTCTGTCTTCTTCTTGTTGAAGCTGGTGAGCCAACTCTAGATCTCTAGAACACTGGACTCTGTCTATGCCTAATAGATATTTTTAATGTTTAGAATAAATTAACTACTGAATTTAAATCTCACTTATTATATGTTTAACTCATATCTTTTAAATGGAGTAAATGCTATTATTTTGATATTTACTCATGACTACGATGTCATGGAAACACTGTTTTCTAGCAGAACTTGAACAACTTCTATAAGGGTAGAACCTCCACTTAAATCACTAACATACACTGAATAGGTAGGCTGTGACAAGCATTTTTCATTAATTGTCTCATTTGATCCTCATGACACCCTTAGGAAGTCATATATTATCTCCTAAGGAAAACAGAACTTAGGAATATTCTTCATTGGTGCTCCTTATTTTTTTTTTTTTTTAAAGATTTTATTTATTTATTTGACAGAGGAGAGATCACAAGTAGACAGAGAGGCAGGCAGAGAGAGAGAGAGGAAAGCAGGCTCCCTGCTGAGCAGAGAGCCCGATGCGAGACTCGATCCCAGGACTCTGAGAACATGACCTGAGCCGAAGGCAGCGGCTTAACCCACTGAGCCACCCAGGCGTCCCCATTGGTGCTCCTTATTAACATAAATAAGGAAAACTGGCTTTTAAAATAAACTGGGGCAGAAACGGAAATAATGAAGAGCATAAAAATATGTTTGCAAAGTACAGCTTAATTACAGTCTGGTCGCAAACAAATGGTACAACTTTGCAACATATTGCCCTGTATCCTCTCTACCCAGTATCTCATAGATCCATTAGTCAGTGGCTTCTGGGAAGGATCTGGTCTCCCTGACTTCCAGTTTGATATTTGAATTATGTATTTGAGTATTCTTTCTTTTCTTTCAAATCTCCCAGTCTCTACTCCATATTCCTATTTGGTCCCCACTTCCAACTGCCAAGGATAAACAAATTACAACTTATTTTTAGCATACTACTGACACTATCTATAGTGATTTACTCAGGCCATATCTTTCATTATTTACCATGGGCTTACAGAATAATTTATGTACCCATACAAAGCC